AAATCGATCGATGTTTCGTTTGTTGGTTGTTTTTTTTTGGTTTTTTTTTTTTGGGGGGGGGGGGGGTAAATAGATCGATTGGTATTAATTGTTTCTTTAGATAGGTCGATAGGTTCTTTCGTTCGTTCCTGGAGTTTAACGTCCACTTCCACCAAGGGTGATATCGTAGACAAAGGTCCATAGGTATTGTTTCTTTAAATAGATCGATGAGTATTAGTTGTTTCTATAAAAAGATCGATGGGTATTAATTTTTTCTCTAAAAATATATCGATGGGTGTTGACTGTTTGTCAATAGATAGTAGAGTGGGCGTACTAATTGATTGGCACAAGCCACCCCCTTCTTATAAGAATATTTTCCTAACCACCAACTGCTTAAATACTGCAGTTTTACATTAAAATAGTACACAATTTTTACTTTTTAAATATATGTGACCATTTGGCTTGTTTTACATTTGAATTAACCACTTTATGATTGATTGGACAAATCGGCATAGGTATCGACTTTAATCCCATTTTATGTATTTCTTTGTTGATATTAAGTTATCTAATTTTAATTCATCAGCATATTGGTTTATATTGCAGTATTCAGTTTAAACAATTCCTTTTGTTTTCCTGAAATATAGACTAATGAAAATACAATGATCTGCAAGTCAATAGTTAGGGACCCTTTATATTTTCATTATTGATTGCATAAATTGTATATGTATGTACATCTATGTAAATTTATATATTTATGTATATATAAGCAAATAAAACTATATTTAGCGGTAATTACTTAGTGCAAGCTGGTTAGTGACATTAATAAATTTGCACATCAAAAGCAATCATTTCATCAGTTGATATTAAATGTTATTTTATCTTTATTGAATTCCTTTGTTTTATTGAATTCTAATTAAATAAGTTTTATTTGATCGTGAATGAATGATGCATAATGTAAGAGCTACATCTGCCCATATTTCCATGAGCAGAAGGACTAAAATGACGTCACGCTTTTTTTTATTGGCGGAAAGTTACGACTACTCACGGAGAACGGCGGAAAACCTTAACGTTGGAATTTACCTATGGCAGGTAACATTGACATTCGGGGTCGTGTTATACTTATGGAAGAATATGCTGACATAATTACTTGAATTATCTAAAAAAAAAAAAAAAAAAAAAAAAAGAAATATGAAGCTTTAATAGATTAGTTAGCTTGTACGTAGACCTATTTCCTTTAATTTAAAACATATCTGGCGGAACAGATTCCAACATTCCTGGTTTTGTGCCCACATGTTTATGTCGGTACAGTCTGTTGTAGCATCATAGAGCAAAATCTTTGGATTTACACATATTGATGAATGGGAACATGAGAATTCTACTCGGTCCCAACTTTTCAGCCTAATCTTCTTTGAATTTCGTCACGTTTTCCTGACAAGTCCACGTCGTGATATCGTTCAATCTTTACCATTCTCGAGTGCAATAAGCGTCAAGACAGCAGACACCGTAAGCATTGCCAATCTAATATCCAGTGTTGTTTAACCTCGATTGTTTTGACGGTTTTGTTTACGACATTCCCCAACACAGTTGCAAGCAATCACGATCTGTCTTTTAGAGATAGAACTAGATACCAGCCATGATTGATCGTTGTTTATTATTAGATCTAACCAAGTTATTGTTTATACGGTGTCTATCAACTGATAAAACACCCATTTGCCAATAATCCTTAGGTCGTGAAATCTTTGATTTGGGTACTGGGTGAGTGTATCGCTACCCGATGGGTGGTTAACGCTTCGGGAATTTAAACTGGTGCATTGGCTTAATTTCCAATAAAGGGTTGTTCCGACGAAATCTGATTAAATTACGGATCTTAATTGCTTTCGGTTTTCCATACTTTAAATGGCCTTCACTATATATAAATCTAGCTGGTTATCATGACAGATCGGTTAGATGAAATTTGAAAAAGTCGACATTTAATTTAATCAATCAACATCGGATGTCAAAGCGGCCTTTCAAAACAACGAAACAATATTTCTCAGAATGCCTCCCATTTTTCATTGGTAATCTCTTACTTTAAACAGAACCCGGGTTATTTAAAACCATTCCAGGTCGTAATGACGTATGGACGAAATGCCCAAACTTTGAACTTTAAAAAACGAAACGAAATAAGGCAACTTCCACACTTATGAATAACAGTTGAGTAGGAAGTAAAACGACCTAACCATCACAATTCATGCGCAAATTGATTTTGTTTTTACTGTAATACCCCTTCAATACACGTAAAGGTTTGAAACATACTTTGATAATATAGAGTGAAATAATGCATAGTTAAGAAGTTCAGAACCTCATATTGTGATATTGTAAAATGGCCGTGTCAGTTTGAGTTCAAAGACCGAACGAATATGCCTGCTGTCTTTATATTTAACATATGGCGAATTATCTGAATATAAACATTGTGGGTAATAAATCCTAAGGGGTAATCAAAAACAAAGCGTCTATTAAACGACTTAAAAAATGGAGTAAATACTCAATAGTTAAACAATACAGACATAAATTTGTCATTAATTCATATTATTACAACAAGCAAAGATTACTGGATAAAAAAGACTATGTCTGCAGTAACATGATAGACTCGGCTGTCAAGAATGTGCGTACATTGACCTATATAAAATGTGTATACATGGAACCGTGTGAGCTGTGTGTATCATATGTTTTGGATTCAATCCAAATGTATGTAGAAGACTCTGATAAGACAACTATCTAATATATCGGGGCGCGGAAAAGGGCCAAAAGATACTTAATCTGTGGTAATAGACTATTTATGCGTAGGTGCGGGAGCATTCTATCATGGGCGTGCGCTGTAAAGTTGATTCTGTTAATTCCAATACCTCCATTATCCAGATTGTCCCAGAGTATTTGTTGATACTGTGCGTTTTAATTCGCAAATTAAATTTTGAAATGTACCTCAAGAGCCTGTCTGAACTTATAAAGTTTCAACTTAAAATTGCGTTAAACGAATAAATGGCTCAAAAAAGGAAATATATGGGGTTTTTTATTACCCTGTGTAATGTGATAACGGGGTCTATCAGCCAGACATATTTACACTTTACACGATTATCCAGTGGCAGCCACCTACACACAGTTTATATTAAATCGAAAGAGTATCACAAGGGAAGCTTTATAAATATTTGATAACACTGAATTAAATCTGGCTTTTCTTTGGTAGATAATCATTGAAAAGCGACATCCATGGCATAAATATTTTCATGAAAACAGCTCCACAGATCAACACGTACGCTTCGGTTCAAAACAACCAAGACCGAAACATAGTTCTATGACAAAAACATTTCATTATACTTCTTGTTTATTTTGGAATTTAGATGTTACTTTTAAATCGTCTATGTAAATACATACCATTACTTATTGTTGGTAATTCTGATGTTTATATGCTGTAAATACTTTGTTATTTTGGTCATGTTTATATCTGTAAATAGGTTCTGTGGGGGAGCACTATTGAAAGGTGTTATCCTCTTTAAATAAAGTTATTATATAATACACTTTTATATTCACACTTCTAATATATATTGTGTTAAAATTCTTAGGAGACGACAAGACATCCGCCAAATATTTCAGAATCTGTCTAATCCAACCTAAACTGTGCGTGTAATATTAGAATTGAACAGATTCTTTTATCCAGCCTAAATTTGTATCTGCCCAAGAGGAACAGCTTAATGGCCCTGGCCTGAACTAAAATGTGTCATTAATTTTTCTTCCAATGGTAGGGTGACCCATGTACTCACAGAAATACAGTCCACCGCTGATAGTTCGAGACTACCACTGAAGCGTTCACATTCGCCGTGCCGAGACCAACTTTCTGACAGTATGATACTATAAATAGCCATGGCACGTGCAATTCTCTACAAATCTATCAACTATTACAGCCGTAAAAAATTTATTGTTGACGATTTTGAATAGCAGTAAAATTAAGCTTCTTGGTTATTACAGCAGATTTAGAAATTACGTTCGTTTCAATTTTTAAATCGCTTTATCATTAACTGTACCGTTAAGAGCGGCATCTTTTGGTTTAGTACAAATAATATCTCTGAATCACTCGGGTTAGACAGGAACATGATACTAGCAGCAGTTTCATTTTACTTTTACAAGCTTCTTAAAACGATTGTTGAGCTACCTAACGTGCTTATTTCTAAATTCAATTTCTTGTTCTAGCTTTCTGTTATGTTTCGTAAAAAACTAGTTTTGATTGTCCCGACCTGTCAATCAGACGTAGAATGGTCGATAGACTGGTTAAGCGAGACTAATTTCAAAACAAGGGCACGTAACCTATCTTTTACTCAAAAGTGTCTGGATGTTATGGACGACTCTTGGAACCAGTTTTCAGTCTATTATTTATACATGATTAATGGTCATAGCTTATTAAGTACAACATGATCGTTTATTTAGTGACTATAATTGTGTGAAACAGATTTGAGGCTTGGCATATATATAAATATTGTGGCGTAATTGTCGAGATATATGGAGATATTTATTTATGGTGGGTCACCCTACCAATGGAGCTGGATATGCGGTGTGGAGTTGTGGGTATTGGTAAATTAACCATGTAGCGCCCTGTAAGGTGACCAAAAAAGTCCACAACTGATCGACGTCCATTCTTGGATTGCAGAAGCTGACGGTAGTACGGAGCAATGACCATCATTAGAGCCAGACAGAGCGAAAGAGAGAAATGGGGTTTAAGTAGTTCATTTCGGGACAAACCCATGTTCAATCTTATTTCAATAATTCGCTTGCGCGTAGGGGCCAGGAGGTCCTGAGAACCCGGAGAAAACCCACGATGTTAGGCATGTAACCCTAGTCCTTGCCACGCACAAGCAGAGAATGGAACCACACCACTTATGATCAATTTTTCACGTGTTAAAAACACTCGACCTCCACACCCTCCCCCAACCCCCACTAGTTAAAATACCAAATGTGTACTATAATAAAGTAACAATGTGAACATTTTAAAAAGAAATACAGATTTATTGAATTATATTTATAGATATATGCTGTTATTTAAAAAAAAATATGTATACCTTTAAAATACCTATACATTTACATACATATAATAATAATATCACTAACTAATAATTATACAAGGAAAACCAAGTCAGGTAGTTCAGAAATATCTCTAAAGTATGTGTATAGTTAAAATTATGTCCAACCGCGTTCCAAAACATTAATAAAGAACGTACTGCCTGTACGAAAAAATAACAGAATTATTAAGATGGCGACTGTAAATCTACAGAAACTAATTTATACTTCAAATAGACGTAATAGTTGGACCAGTGTGGGTTTTTATGTAAAAATAAATATCGATTATTTTTAACCGTATAATGGACTTTTAGTCTAACTTGTTGTCCCTTTAAAGGAAAACACCAACAACTGGAATGATAATAACAAAGTCAATCTAATTAAAACCAGTGGTTATTTCCGTCCTGTTTATTAGGGTCCCCACTCCATTAATATTAACAGTCAGACGCATTCTTTTAAGTTTAAACAACTGAAAAAAAAACAGTTGCTCACTTCATTAACATCAAAAGAAACACGCATTTTTTAAATATTAATCAAACATAAACATATCAGTTCATTAACATTAAAAGAAAGATGCATTCTTTTAAGATTAAACAAACTATTAATGAAGCAGAATGAAAAGTTGGCATAATTTTAATTAGACTGTAACAAACTATATATTTAATAATAATCAACCCCGATTTTCCAGATTACAAATATGTCAGATACCATTCGAATCACAAATGAAGATAATGAACAAACATATTGGACAAATCATCATTCAAGTCGTAAAATTGATACTAATAAGTCATATTTTCACAAAATCGAAATCTACTAAATAATTTTAATTATAGAAAGAAATATTTTGATATATCTAAATTTTACTACATCTAAAACCAATCATTAACATTGTAATTTTTAACATGAGATTAAAAGTAAGTTATTTCATTATGTCTTTGACAACAGTGGTAATTAGACACTAAAAATATCTCACTGTAAAAAAAGACCAATTCCTTTTGAGTGAAAATACATACGTTCATTAAATTATGGTGTGTTGCTAGGCCCAGAGAGAGAAGGAGAGAGAGGCACTATTGAGATATTATCGATTTTGTTTCATCAATTTACGCCAAAAATGAAAATAAATTTTGTAAACTGTCCGTCTTTGGTAATCTTTTCCAAAATAAAAATTTAATCTTAAAGCTAGTCTTCTCACTAATTAAAATCACACATCATCTAAACAGTAACGGGTTTCTGAAACGGATAACCGATTCCTTTAACGGATAACAGGTGTTAACAATTAAATACAGATATTTATTAAGGTCCGGCCTTTTCTACTTTTAATTATGAATCACCACCAGGGTGTTTAATGACTACAAGATATTTTCTAAATTAAACTCGATATAGTATAAAACATTCACTCGTATGAGACAATACGATTGTCACGAATTAAAACTTTCTTTCATTTTAATTTTTTGGAATGACAAAAACACAGGAGGTCAATAGTTCTTATGATACATAAAAATGTGAAGTAAAATATATATTCATTTTATACATAATAGTTACATTTATTTATTCTTCAAACTTTTTTTTCATATTTGACGCCCTTTTCACAATTGAATAATAAAACCTTCAACTTACAAGAGGTCTTTCGAACAAACGGTGTTCTGACCACTTTCATCCAACCTATACATTAACAACCATGAATGATTTATATTTTTGTGCTTCAATCACAGACTAAAATGACACCATTTCCATGGCAGCATTAAACTGTTAGTATATAATGAGCATGTGACCCAGATTGTAAACAGCCCATCAGGTGGTCTGCTGTTTTATGGGCATAACATTATCAATTTAAAATCATGATCAGGAAACAAAACCACTCATTGTAAAGAGTCTAAAAACAAAATTATTGATCGCCAAAAAACAATATTTCATCTCCAATGATCAAGATGACAAATCTCGCATGATCAAGATAACAAATCGCGTATGATCAAGAGTCAAAACAAACTGTTCAGGTGCCCGTGATCAAGAGTTCAAACGATTCCATTCTCTTCTAACATAAAGTCGGAATATACGATCGTAGCTCATGATCAAGAGTCTTAACAAAAGCATGATCTATTGGCAAAGTCCATGATCAAGAGTCTAAACACAAACATGATATATCAGAAAAGTTCATGATCAAGAATCTAATATCAATAATGATCACTCGGTAATGTAAATGCATTTCCAGTCACACACGGATAGAAGTACGAACGCACGATGATTTTCTAAACATGTAAATCTTCACAAATCCATTTACACATGGTTCAGGCACGTACTGATCTTTGTATGGGTTGATCACATCACTCTTCTCGACGTAAATCTTTATAGAATATAATTGAGCCTACGTAGGTCCCGTCACTCATTTGGCCTCCCATGGGCAGAAAACCGCATCTGGCAAATCCACCATGTTTTTCTATTATCCGGGTCATTCCTTTGTTATTGCTAAAACAGTCCACGTACATTGCAATGAATTCCAGGTCGGCAGCAAAGGTCACTGCAGTGCGCAAACAGAAATCTCCGACCCCTTTTCTCCGTTCCGATTTCTTCACGATGATGAACGGGTCGGCTACTTTTGTTCCACGATAAAATTTGCTAATGGCAATTATAAATCCTGCGATCAGCTCCCCCGAATCTTTTGTCGTGATAGCGAACGAGTACCCCCCTTCTATTTCCCGCCTAAATACCTTCTCGCTAGAAAATTCAGTAATTCCGAAGCCATTGCTGTTCTTAGCAGCTTCCTGGATCATCGCGTATGTTGCTGATAGCTGACTTTCCGTCATGAAGTCAACAACTACTTCCCGTCCATCAGGAAGTGACGTAATGAGAGGCACTATGGGTGGAACTCGAGCAGCTTGTTGTATTATCATTTTTTCGGAAGTCTGAAGACCCACTGAAAAGATAAAGAGATCGATTAATAATGAAATGGCGGCCTTCACAATGCTGATCGGCCAAAAAATTATATAATATTTTCATTCCCGGTCTAGCCCACGTTATACCACTTTTGGTTTATTTAGCAAACAGAAAATCCAAATCCAAACAATCTGTGTACGTCCCTGCTGAATATTGGATGTTGACTTCTCAAGCACTTACAAACACTTATTGCGAAGTAATTATTTATGAGATGATAAAAGATAGTATAAACATTATCCAAACATAATGAATGCCTTATAAATACTGATTGAATCAATATATGTATAGAAATTTAAGTTGTATACTTGAACAAATACTGAAACTTAGTTACTTTTATTTCCCATTCATTTATCAAGCCTGGTTCCTGCTTTATACATCTAAAAGTATTCTTAGTCGTAAATTGCTTTCCCATTCATTTTACAACACAATGTACGCAACAATCCTCGTAATGAAATAGGGTTTAACGTCTAGTCTATTCTTTACCTAGTACATTTCTATTCGCTATGTGCGTTGTACCGTGATGGAAAAGTTTCCTTTACTAGCGACCTAGTGTATACACAGATATAAAACTGGGTTGTTTTTCACCTATCCCACTGACTACACGAACTTTCATTCACATCACCTCAGACTCCACTGTGGACAATTATTAGGCACCAAATTTGAAGCGTTCCGAATGCATTGGAACCCGGAACGTTCTAATATGCATTCGGTTCCCCAACTACAAGCATGCCTCCCACGGTCCACAGAGGACATTGGAACCTTCTAATATCTAATCTAATCTAATATCGAGTTCGGTTCCCTATCAACTCTACTACGATGCGTCTCACGATTCACAGAAGTAAACTTCCTGGATCATAACAACTGATTAAACCCACATCATATTATTGGCATCATACATCATTCTTACATTATTTATGACTTTTTACATCAAACGGGGGATGGAAATAGTCTTAAGAACTGTGCATCAATAAAAGATAAACCCTTGGAACAATTCCAACATCAACACATGTGAGCTATCGTCATACGACGCATTTAATTATAAAATTATATGTAGGTTAATTATTATTTCTCATTTTTTACGCTAGCCGCCTTCCGTAAAAAGATAGGATGCCAGGCAACGAAACATACGCCCACGGCAGCTAAATCGTCCTGCCAGTCAACAAGAGTTGTCGCATATTTTTACCTTTTCAGTAATGAAATATTTATAATACACTAAAATCTGATTAAGAGTAACAACTCATTAAGTAATTATGAGAAAATCATTAGAATTTGTTTGTTTGCTTTTTATTAATTATTTCTGACCCATGCTAACGTTTAGTATACGAAATATTTAATATCATGGATTTAGCAGTTCAAGTTATCAAAATTATGAGAAAATCAATATACTTGTTCGTTTCAAGACCTTAAACTCTGTGTGTCAATCTGAAGTCAATTGGATGATAAAATAAGCCTCTAGAGCGTCACAAGATTTTTCAAAATGATCAAGAGCCATAATTTTGGCAGTAATTATCGGAAATCGTTGAAAATCAATAGGAGTCTTCGTCTCATGAACTTAAACACTGTGTATTAATTTAAAGTCAATCGGATATTCACTTTGGCCTTTAGAGCATCCACAAGATATTTTGAAGTGAACAAGGGCCATAACTCTGGCAGTAATTATCGGAAATTGCTGAAAATCAATAGACTTCTTCGTCTCATGACCTTAAGCACTGTGTATAAGCAATTGTGGACGCCGGAGCGGCGTACGGGGGCGACGACAATAAACGACCACATTTCAATGTGGATGTATAAAGAAAATGTGTTTATTTTATAGGGACATAAGGTAAGACTAGATAACGAGCCGGCAGTTCGCACTATAATAGTTACAAATTAGATAATGAAAACAGAAAATATTGAAAATTTCAGTCAAATTGCTTTTCTCCGAACCGGGATATTAGCGATTCAATTTTAGGCTAGCCTCGAACGTCATTACTAACGTAGGTAATATGTCTCGGTTATCCATTTTTTCGTTAAATTATGTATTCAAATCCACTAAATATCGCAGGCTAACGAGCGTTGATTATGGTCTGGATAAGTTAATTAATGTCTACTTAATAATTTAGATAACATTTTAGGCCTAAAGAAAGACTTGCAATAGGCAGATTTAGCTCTTGCATAATGCATGTCAATTGCTCCCCGCACCCCAAATAAAAGCAACTAGTTATACCTAGCTGGCCACTTAGCTGTATTGAATCGTTTGCCTGAAAGATAAGTTCACGTGTTTTTACATTTGCCTGACTGGATTCATCTATTGAACTAATCTTTTTTTACAACGGTTTAGAATCGAAGGCCAAATCACAAAGAAGCTGAATGAACAAAATGATAGGTTGAAATTCTGCTCTTCAAAACCACGTATTTGGTTTCAAATTACATTGTACATTGTGTTAGAATTCAACAATACAAAATCGATTGTGACACACAAGTGATAGGGTCAAGTCTAAACGCGATACCCCCACCTCCCCCTAATTCCTTTCCAGTGACCTTGAATTTTGATCTGACGAAGCACAAAACGCGCCATGTAGTTGTAACTGCAATTTTAGAAATCCAATCACCGAAATCGTATCAAACTTATTTATTTATTTTTACGAATCTTACCTCCGATGTAAACCATATCCGAGAGCTTCACCCTCACACTCAAATACAAATTTGAAATAATCCGTTTTAAACGATAAACATGTATACACTCGCTTCAAACTAAGGCTATACTCTACTGTTGTATAGACGGGCAGAACGAATAACTTTGATCTCTCTCAGACACTGTTTACAACTAGAAGAGAAATATGTATATTTCACCACGTGACCTCAGCTATCAATAGTACAGTGCAGAATAAGAATAGTAATACAATTATTCTGACGTGGACAGGTCAACTAGCGAACACTCTGCCAGAGCAAAGCGATCAATTGTTATTGACTTCAATTTACGTGACTCAACAACGAGGAGAACATACAGTGTGTAATGAAGTAATTAAGATCTTTAATACACTGGATGTGGTATTAGATGTTCTACAAGGACCAAGCATATAGTACCTACTGCATGAATCCCTCACTTCATACTGCTAAAAATGACTATCGTTATGGGTGTTGTACAAAGCATACACTACCTTTACTTGTGCATATCTATAAGCATTCTTGTTAAAATGATTATTATAATGTGAATGAATATATCGCCAGGAAGATCAATACAGTTATCTGCTAGACACCTAGCTTATCAGGTAGAAAACTATTCCTGATATTTCTTACGAACAGTTTGTCAGAAGTGTTAAATTTATTTTTATTTCGGGATTCAGTAAGTAAGCAATAACTTGCAATTTTTATTGCAATTGGGCTAGATCTATTTCTTAAGGCCAACTCAAAATTTCGTCAAGGTCGCTAATATGTAAATAAGTTTAGGGCACGTGATTGTTGGCGATATTGTAGGTTAGGGTTAGGGTAAGCATCATTGCTAGGTCCAGGGTTAGGGTTGGGATTAGCGCTAGCCCTGTTTACATCTCGTGAACTTTGACCAAACTTGAAGTTGGCCTTATGAAATAGATCTAACCAATTAATTGTTTTGAAAATTAAAAAAATAAGCCCTCTCTTAGTTATTTCGAAACGAAATTCGCCAATTTCATCCACTTTAAAAACAGTTCAGCTTTTTTTTCTGTTTTAGAAAAGGGAGGGATGGTGAGGGGGTACATTTGAGCAATATCAAGTAGAAATTCAGACATGGAATATATTTCAAATTCACGGGAGAAAACATAAGCATACGTGGTGTCGAACAGTTTGACACTAACAAGGTTGATTTTTTTGTTATGAAAAAATAACTCGTTCTTACAAGATAAAATTATCAAAACAGTTTTCTTATTCTTTTTTTTTTCTAAACGGTCAGCATGCACCCAAAGTGTACCAGTAGAGATCGCTAACCTATCAGATTTCAAAGTTTACGTTGGCTGCATCACGTTCTTTTAATAGACTGCGGGATTGGTCTATCATGACTTTTTAGCGATTTGGATATTTATCAGTAAAATTAATGCGAAGGTGATGTATTATCAATGAACTGTGTGTTCTGTTCGTTATTATATCGACATATCACATTCATGTCGGCTCGAATTGGTAATTGCTTATCAAGTCCTTACTTGTTTCTTTTTGTGTTACGTTATATTTATTTGGCTGACTTTCAACAAAGATAAAACGGACTATATAATTTCAGCAGACAAATAAGTCTTTCTTTGATTTATTACAAATAATTTTACATTATGATAGTATCACTTTTACACCTGAGAGAGAGAGAGAGAGAAAGAGAGAGAGTTAAAGGGCTAATCCCGATAATTTTTTGGAGAATAAAACTGTTTAATTTAGTTTTAAAATCCCTGAAAATCTTCAACCTAAGGGTCGAGCAACTAACTCAATATTTGTAATAAGTTTTCAAATAACTGAAACACGTCAGTCTTCATCTGGAAATGGAGACTGGTGTCCCAAGCTGTATTATGCGGTGTCTAGATAAAACCAGACATTTTTTGTATAAAAATAATGTGTAGGTGAAATTTACCTTTCATTATCAAGTACAGCATTTGGGCCATTCACTGTATAGACCTCTCAATGAACGGGAATCGATTATCAGGTCTCCCAACGAAACAATTGACCCGAAATCTTAAAAGGGTTACTTGTCCGGATAAGCAGTTTTGATGGTCACGTCCAAACGACTCAATATTTTGAGCTGAAATTTTGAGATACGGTCAATACACCATTCCTCGATGTTTTGGCGTTTAAATTTCATACATACTCAGACTTTTATTTTTGAGACTCTGTTCAAATAAGGGATTGTCCCATTAACATGCACTCGACACAAAGTATGATGGTCATTTCCTCAGACGAGTCCTCTTTCCTGAACAACTGACAAATATAATTCAGATACCAGTTTTAAAACCGGAGCTCTCTAGCTGTCTTCGAATGGACTTCTCTTAAAATCTGACTTATCTTGTTCGGCTCCTGGTGGTTTTTGGACACGCGCAAGAAACGCCATTTATCTTGTATTCCTTACATAGGTTTTCTCTATTTTATTGTGATTTTGTTTCATTTTGAGTGAAGCTTGTAGCATTACAGGCCCCGGATTTACGGTTCATTGCTTGTCCTCAGGTTCTCTAGTGGGCTTTGTTTGTGTGGTTTTCCTGCACTTACCATAATATATGAGCCAAAGACATTGAACTTAGTAAAAAATAGAGTAAAGGGATACGCTACATAATTATTACCAAACCACGAATAGGCCTACTGACTAATAAACAGTTATTATGGATATTTTATAGACCGGCTAAATTACTGTTTACGAGATGGCAGGCGTTATTTAAGGTCTTGAAATTTAAATAGTGCATTTTGCATGTCATAATATAGGGTGATTATAGAGTTTAAATTAATACACAATCTATCTCAGGCAAATATAGATTAAGAATAGTGTGCCATCTGTTTTGTACAATCAAGTCTATTCTTCATAAGGTCTTTTTACTCTCAGATCAGATGTGTTTTTATTGCATAACACATATTTTTAACATTTGAAATATCTGCTTTGTTGTTCCTATAAACTTAACCATTCAGTTAAGTTTATCCAGGATTTACGTCCGCTTCCATCTAGGGTGATATCATAGACAAATGTCTGCTTGGAGACAGAAGTGAATGAAAGTCCAGTCTGGCAAAAGGTGAAAATGGAAAAAGCTATTAAGAAATGTTGTCGAAGCCATTTTCATGGTTAAAGGCACAATCGTATCTTTTGAGATACAGTGATCAATGTTACTGTTCAGAACTATTTCGTAGCGGTTCAAAGTTCAATCGTT